TTCATAAATAGTAATTTTTAAAAATGGACGGGCATCCCCTCTTGTGTTGTGAATCGGCGCTGTCAGATGTTGACATTCATTTTGACACTTTTTAATAATGTTTTGTTTATTACTATCGAAAAACCGTCGAATTACTTCCAACCACGAATCCCATTCGTGTTTAGACAAAAATGTATAACAGCGCCGATTCACACCTTCCCGTTTTTTGGAAGAAAAGTACTTTTAGCTTTCCCCTGGGAGCACTCGGGACACGATCTTGCCGTCACCCCTTTTCGGCCGCAACGATAACAAACCAAAACATGAGCTTGTGAACATGTTCCCAGAGTGTGCCCTTCAACACGGCAACGCACACAGAACTTATCATTTCCCACCAGTTGCACGGCTGAGACCTTAGGCAGTTGTCTATTATTGCTATTCTTATAACTCAGATCTGGAGCTAAGCAAGCCTGGGTTATTTTAGGTGGTTCACTAAAATGTTGGGAACGCTCCTTGGCACCTTCCAGAAGTCTACATTTGCGTTTCAAATCTGTCCAGGACTCTATGGGACTCAAAGCTAATTGTGTAGTGTAAAAAGGTCTAATATTAAAAAGAACAATATTCAATTTCTCTTCCTCTGAGAGCGACTTTGACAACCGGGTAAAATAGTTCTGCATAATGCTAAGATAATTCACTATGCTTTCATCGGAACCCTGAGTGCGAGACCGGATCTCTTGTAATAAACGATGATCATAATCTGATGGTAAATATTCATCAAGAAGCAAGGTTTTCAACCCTAACCAGCTATGTACTTCGGATTGCACCCCACGATACCAACAAAGAGCCTCATCTGTAAACAATTCAGCTGCAGAATTGAACAACTTACCATCTGTTACACCACGAGACAAACATAACTCCTCTAAACGCTGCAAGAATGCCTTTACACAGGTTTTCCCATTAAACCGTATGTTTAGTTTATGTACGGCAGCACCAGAATCAGGGGAAGCATTCCCAGTGCGTTCAGAAGCAGCATGGACTCTGCTATTCTCTTCCGGAGGCACCTGAGTTAAACTACTCTTAAAATGGTGCATAATGTTATCTAACTTAACCAGAAACTTGTCCAGACGTTCTTGCAGCGCCTCCAATTGAGAGGCGATGCTGTCATCATTATCAGAATCTAAGCGACTAAGTCTATGAAACAAGTGATGTGCTAATGATTGTATTCTGTTCAGTGCTTTAAGGGAACTAGCTCTAGAAGAAGTTTGAGAAGTAAGATCATCTAAACTGTCTAATTTCTCCCTAATAATATCCAACTCTGATTCTATCTCTACTTCACAAGTTAATATTTCATCAGAAGGTAAATCTTTATTTAAAGCACGCACTTGTGCCTTTAAAGCAGGCACCCCGTCCACAGGCTTCGCACCCCTAATTCTGACTTCATATTCCAACTCATCTTTGTGTAACAAGTTAAAAGTGATTGGCCTCTGTTCCATTTTGTAAGTTAAAATTACTCCTAGTGTGGCAAAATAAAGAAATGTTCAATAACAAAGTGTAATTAATATGATAATAAAATCACCTACCTGTTAAGATATATCAGTTAAAATAGTAGTGTTGTAACAAGTGTGGTTTCACACCTGAGGGTTGAAAATTGTTAGGTTCTAAAGGATTAGGTTTCTCAATGTTAGGTTTCTTCTTGTTAGGTTCAAAAAAGTGAGGTTGGTGAACTAACCTACCAAAAATCAGTACACAAGAGGGTTTTTTTTTCCTTTAAATAAGGGTATAAAAAAGTAAATATGACTTTTTTGATTGTAAATTTTGAGCCAATATCGATCATCCGATGTTACAAATTATTATGTTTACAACACAGTATAACCAGATAAACAAATCTTTGGATATAAGCCAAATAATTCAGAGAAAAAAGAAAATTTAAAAAAAAAGAAAAATCACCAATATCGATCAACCTTTTTTGAGCAATTAATGACCAAAAAAAAGAGCAAAGTAAATGCTACAAAGCCTTGTTTCCACTTGTTCGGGCGCCACATGTGATGTTAAATTCTCTTCAACAGCCCTCCTTTAGCCCACTCAGAGCACCGGGGGAACAATAAAAGAAAACCAAAAAATTAAGATAATGTTATAAGTATATTTTATCCACTTTAGATACCAAAGCCTAGGACTTCAGTAGATTTAAGTTATTGCTTATATAAATCAACAAGTCTAACTATGTTTATTATTTATATAATAACTATGTTTCACTAATTATAAATATCTAAGCTGAATACAGTAGTTCAAAGTTAATGTGTATATAAACCAACAAGTTGTCATGAAAGGTTATAATCATATGAATATCAAACATTCATAACACTTTACCATGTACTTACAATATAATCCTTACTAATATATTTTATCCACAAATACCACATAGACTAGACTGAATAAGCTATTGAGTGGATTTCAGAGGTTCTACGGCTCGTTTGATCGATATTGGTGACAAACTTAGTTAATTCTAGTTCTCAGTGAGATAACCAGCTATATAGATATATGTAAATATATGGAAATGGGTAAGTCGGGGTCCAACCTCGCCTGTTGTTTCCTTTTCACGTCCACCCGGGGTTAGTAGAGAAATACCTTGACTATGATAGGTTAAGCTGTGTATAATCTGTCTGCTGTTCGGCCGGGTTACATAAAACCGGAGAGCGGCTGGCAAGTAAACTCCCGCGCCCCTTCTGGTCCGTACACAGAACAAAAGTCTCCTGGTTAGTCCTCCAGTATTTCTTGAGGGGAACGTACAAGCCTGAAGTTCACATTGAAAAAGAATGATCAGATATGGGGAAAATACATAGATTACCACATCTGTGGTGGGTGAGGGAGTGAGGGATATTCACGGTCAATGTTTACACTTTAAAATTTGAATCAATACAGGACTGGGGGCCCGTCCCACCCGGTTTGAAGAAAATCAATTCCACGTTCACTAACTTGACAAGAATGATTAGGTATATTTGATGACAAGAATCACTATATTGTGCATAATGCAGTTCAATTAGTGCTAGGAGAATAAATATGAGGTCAGAGGATAGCTTACCGTTCGAAATATGAAACTATCCGTAAGTATTTTGTTTCCTATCACGGGTTACCGCCTTATTGTTGCAATTGCCTTGCGAAGGTTCGTGTTCGTCCACCTACGATACAGAATATCAACAGAAAGGTTATTTTCACAGCCCAAACTTGCAAATTATGTAGGAAAAGAGAGCCACTCCAATATACCTACGAAACTCAGTTCGGTTAGCGACTCCGCGCTTTTTCCGCCAATATCCCTCGGGATATAAACTTTTCGGATCTATCTCACGACTTCGACGACAATAATATGCCGTTTATTATACTTTGGGCAGAAGAAAAGATGAAAAGTTAACTGTACCACAAACAGATTGTGAAATTTTAAAAGTTGTTTTGACAATTGCTCATAGATGATAGACGAATCGTCTACTCCCAAACATGTGTCTATGATTTGTTTCCCACTTCAACTGAAGGCAAAGGCCACAGTCAAACAGACAGCCGCCGCATTCGAGACGAACCGAAGAATAAACTCAAAACTATATACCTACGCTCGCCGTAAGCTGAGGAAAAGGAATACCTACCCAAATCAGCGAGGAAATTCAATTTCGAGTAAAATTCAAAATCGATTAAAAAACAGCACCCGATAAGGAGGACTCAAATCGATCTGGGAAAGACTATTCAAAATTCAACAACTGTCAAACTCCATCCATTCATCCACGCGCCCCCACAGAGATTCCCAGCCTGATTACTTTTATAAGTCTCAAGGCGAATATTTTAGTCGAATAGGAAAATCGACTCTTCCCTCAAGGCTACCAACCCAATCAATGAAGTTTGACAGCTACGTTGACGTAAGCGGTTCGCTATCATAGACCAAACAGCTGTCCTACGTGTGTCAGTGTCACGCTCGGTTTAAAAACAAACACTACAATCCATGTCATAAACTATACAGTATAACTCTCCTTTTTAAAGGAGACACTGATTTTGAATTTAGTTTTAAGTTTAGAGAATCATGCGTCAGAAAGGTGACCTTACGAATATTTAAGAAAATGTGTCTTAATAAGATACTGGTGTCAATTCTGGCTTGATTCTCTAAACTTAAAACTAAATTTAACATCAGTGTCTCTTTTTCATTCTGTATAGAGAATGACAAGATGTATGTTGCCAAATTTAAGTTTAAACATAGAGAATCATGCCAGAATCGATACCATTGCTTCATAATGCGTCTTAATGAAATAGATTTAGCATCATGAACATGATTTGCTGAGATGATTTGTATTTGCACACTTAGAGGAGTAGGAACTCTGAATTTTATGCGAGGTAATACCTGGATTATATTAAATGCTTGAGTGAGTAAACACTAAATCTATTTCATTAAGACGCATTATGAAGCAATGGTATCGATTCTGGCATGATTCTCTATGTTTAAAACATGCGTCTTAATGAAATAGATTTAGCATCATGAACATGATTTGCTGAGATGATTTGTATTTGCACACTTAGAGGAGTAGGAACTCTGAATTTTATGCGAGGTAATACCTGGATTATATTAAATGCTTGAGTGAGTAAACACTTTTTTGAAGTGAAACTTCTTTAGGCACGTTTGACTTGGGGTTAAACTGGCAAATGTGTGACGATGTAATGAAGTTTTTGGCGGGATTTCATCGAGTGCGGTTGGCGTTTTATTTTAATTATTCTTAAATTTGTTCATAGTGGATATTGTGAAATAAAATTGGTGTGATTTTGTGTTACAACCGTCTGCGCAACTGAAGAATTAGTGGAATCTTTAAAATATACATTATTTCGGTCAAGTGGACGTGAGAACTTTATTGTAGTATTGACTACCTCACAGAAGCTTATCGAAAAAACTAACTCGATAAATTTCATGCCAAACACTTCAAGAAACATTAGAATGCGTCACACCCACATTCTAATGTAAAAAAAAGGAAGATTAATACAAAAATAAGACGATGGCTGCATGGCTTTGCCTTTGCCTTTCTCAATAGAGAAGAATAGAACTAAAAAAAGAAGTGTGTGTAGTTTTTTGGCGGGATTTCATCGACTGTGGTTGGCGTCTTATTTTAATTATTCTTAAATTCGTTAATAGTGGATATTGTGAAATAAAATTGGTGTGATTTTGTGTTACAACTGTCTGCGTAACTGAAGAATTAGTAGAATCCTCAAAATATACGCTATTCCGGTCAAGTGGACGTGAGAATTTTATTGTAGTATTGACTACCTCACAGAAGCTTATCGAAAAGCCAGCTCGATACATTTCGTGCCAAACACTTCAAGAAACATTAGAATGCGTCACACCGACATTCTAATGTAAAAAGAAAAACAGAATAATTTAACTTAAGATTAGGCTGTATGGGCATTGTTCCCCTTGCCTTCCCTAAAAAGGGAGAACTTAACAAAAAAAAGTGTGCTATAATCTGAATTAATCTGTGGTATGTACTTACTGTTACGTTCGTCTTTTCTGTTTTGAAATTTTCCTATTTTACAATTTACTTGCTAGCTTGTGTCACTATGATAGTTTCTACAAAAGCAAAAACCGTAATACTTTAGCGTTGATATTAAAGTTCATTAGTGCGTATCACAGATTGTAGTGTAATCGATTGAAGAGCTTGTTTGCTTTCATTGTGATTCGTTACGATGGCTGTGTCCAAATCTACTAACACGTATAATCGACAAAATTGGGAAGATTCCGTAAGTTTCAGTATAAGTCGTTAAAATATATAAATACGAGTGTTTGCCAATTGCACTAATGTTTGTATTAATTACATTTGATTTCATTTTTAGGACTTTCCAATTTTATGTCAAACATGTCTTGGAGATAACCCTTACATACGAATGGTAAGCTAATATTGATTTTTAAAAGAAAAAACATTGTTCTTTATGTTTGTATTGATAATTCCTATTACTGTTCCTATTTCAGACAAAGGAAAAGTATGGTAAAGAATGTAAAATATGTGCTCGACCATTTACTGTGTTTCGCTGGTGCCCTGGGTCAAGGATGCGTTTCAAGAAAACTGAAATTTGCCAGACGTGTTCAAAACTCAAAAATGTTTGCCAAACTTGTCTATTAGATCTAGAATACGGTCTACCTATTCAAGTGAGAGACGCTGCTCTTAAAATTCAAGATGATCTACCTCGTAATGAAGTGAATAAAGAGTACTATATCCAAAATTTAGACAGTCAGATGTCAAAGTTTGACTCCACACAACCCAGCAATTCTGCATTGAAGTCTAAAGGAGCATCTGACTTGCTGCTACGCTTGGCAAGGACTGCCCCTTATTATAAACGAAATAGACCACATGTTTGTTCATTTTGGGTTAAGGGTGAATGTAGAAGAGGAGAAGAGTGCCCATACAGACATGAAAAGCCTACAGACCCAGACGATCCACTGGCTGATCAGAATATTAAGGACAGGTATGTTGATTTTATTTGTTTTGGTGTAATATTATAAGAATGATTGTAACTAATACGGTTTTTAATGAGCAATTAATAATCAACTATTTATTTCTGTTCATGTTGTTTTTATATACAGATATTATGGTGTCAATGACCCAGTGGCAGAGAAGTTAATGAGGCGTGCTGCTGCTATGCCAGCACTGCCTCCTCCAGAAGACAGAACTGTAACTACACTTTATATTGGAAATCTACCAGACAATATCACAGAAGAAGAATTAAGAGGACATTTCTACCAATATGGTGAAATAAGGTATATAATATTTTAGTAATACTATTAATTATTGTGTTTAAAGTTATATGATAATGAAAGTGATTAATACCTACTTTTTTTAATTCTAGGTCTCTTACCTTAGTGCCTAGAGCTCAATGTGCCTTTGTGCAATATACTACTAGGAGTGCGGCTGAACATGCAGCTGAGAAAACTTTCAATAGACTAGTAATTGGAGGCAAGCGGCTTACTATCAAGTGGGGAAAATCACAAGGTAATATTATTGTTAGGCCATTATTATTCATCATGCTTTATTGTAGTATATAGAAAACAATAAACTGTGTATTTAAATCAAAATAACTATCAACCTTTATTTCAATATGTATGTGTACTCTGATAGAATAAACAGTGGCATAATATTATAGCATATTGAAGCAGACAGGAATGATGAATCCTGCTAAAAATCAATAAAATAAATCAAAATACACTCCAGTTTGTATTTAGACTACATACTTTGATTATAGTTTCTACAGCGTTTTCCTTTGTGGATTTAATACAATAAAATATTAATACAATCTTAAGGCCAATTACAGAAACTCATTGTGTACACATTAGATACTAACGGATAATATCATTTGAATTTTAATTTTGAGAAGTGATGTGATAGTAGTTGAATGAAAAGAAGCCACCCACTGTACATCACAATGTGTTTATTACTTTTGGCCTCACTCTAAAACATCAATTGATTTTTTCAATCCATAATCAATGTCGCAGGTCGTCAAGGCTTGAATGAGAAGAGTGAAATGGCGCCTGCATTGGAGCCAGTGCCCGGTCTCCCTGGGACATTGCCACCACCTCCTGCATTCTTACATCCATTCCAGCCACAGGTATGTATTCACTCATCCCTTTTGTTGTATTGTTGTTTTTAGGAGTAGCAAATCCATCCCACCTAATAACTGATAATTATGGCTTTCAACTAGATTAACAAATGAACTTCTGCAACTGGCACTAGACAAGAGGATACTGTTATTTCACTGTTCCTCGTGTTATGTGCTGGTAGCTACCCCAGACAAGCACACTTGAGTTAGTGGTGGAAGTGCTTTGAATGTAAATTGACAATTCTTAGTTTACAAAGGACATGGTAAAATTTTGTATGAGCGACTGCCCTAGCAATGTATAAATATTGTACTTAGTAATATATAATGCAGAATGGCTGAATATTTATAATTTCTATGAAAAAGGGCTCAGGAACTTTTGATAAAGTCACAATCTTGAAAATTATGAGATCTTCTACGACGTCATTACCTTGCTACATTTGATAAAAGATGTTGCAAATTATTTACAGAGTCATCAATTTCGCGTTTTCTTAGAATATTTCTGCACATATATCTGATTAACACTTCACAAAAAGCATTTTAAAAGTAAAAATAAATACAAATAATTTGTTGTTGCCGGCCTGACATGAAATCTGTGAAGTTTTATTTTGTTCATTTGTAAAAATCAAAGCATTAATTGTCATACAGCCTTCTCTAAAGCCTGATCAGAAAAATAAAATCGATTATTTTAGGCCTTCAGTGATTTGTTATTATAAAAATAAGGGACAAATATGTCATAGCTTTTGGGAGTTTTGAATTAATATTGTTTATTTCGATATACTGACAGAAATATTTTTTAGTATACATTTATTGTTCATTTATTTAAGTAAAACGGAACATTTTCCTTTTGAAACAGACATGAAGTCAATTTTTATACTTTTAAATATTTGTTTATTCACGAAAGTTGTATGAGAATTATAAACACGTGATAATTAATAAAAAAATATTATAAAATTATGGGCTAGTGCAAAATAATTATACACGTTAAGGGCAGTTTCTTAGCCATGTCCTTTACTTTCGAGTGAGTTTTAATGTTTATAAATGTCCATTAGTGTTAGAGTGCGTTCCAATTTTGTCGTGACAACAGATTGTCGTGGTGTTTACATGTAGGGTTGTACGATTAATTAACGTACTTTTCTTTTTTGCTGTGACTACATATTCTCAAGACAAGGGAAAGTCTAGTACTACAGTCCCAAAACATTAAATGAAACTTTACGAGTAATCGTGACTGTGTTATGTGCAACCTATGAGTAAACGACAAGGCGACATTCGTGATTCGGTAAAATGTCGTCGCAATACAATAGGTCAGCACAAGATTCAGGAGCTGGTCAAGGACAATAATTTCTACACGATATTCGTTGCCTGCCGTCTCATTTTCTCTGCACTTTCTTTCCGGTTGACTGGTAGAGAATGCCATACTTAAGTCTGCCATTTGCATTGTAAAGGCAATAAAGATTAAATATAAATAATATAATGGAAACAGTTCTGCAGTCCTAAAACGACAAATTAACTCTCACAATGAAGTGAGAACCCGCTCTTATGGTTGGTTAAAGGCGAAGACGTTGAAAGTTCCTTGTATATTAACCAATAATTCGTCGTTGACAGATGCCTCCGCCCCCCAACCGTCCGAACGACTTCTTCAACCTGCATCACTACGGGCCCCCCGCCGGCTGGGGCCCGTGGCCGCCCGCTGGTGCGCCCCCCGCGCCCCCGCCCCCGGCCCCGATGACTCTACATTACCCCAGTCAAGACCCGAGTAGACTGGGAGCTCATGCTCACGCGAATGCACCGCAGACATAGTAGTATCTACATGATTCTTTGGTTCGCCCTCATAGATGTCTCCACCCCTTAAACGTAGGTCTGTGTTCAACGTCCGAACGGCTTCATCAAATTCCACTACTATATAGCCACTCCGCCCCCGACCCCGATTGCTCTACATTACCCCAGTCAAGACCCGAATAGACTAGGAGCTCATGCTCACGCGAATGCACCGCAGACATAGTAGTATCTACATAATTCTTTGGTTCGCCCCCATAGATGTCTCCACCCCTTAAAAGTAGGTTTGTGCTCAACATCCGAACGGCTATATCAATTCCACGACTATATAGCCCCCTCCACCCCCAAACCCTGATGGCCCTACATATCCCCAGGCAAAACCTCGTTACCCCCATAGATGCCTCCACCCCTGAAATCTTAAGTGTGCTCCAACCCCTCATCGATATAGATGACTCAACTGTATGTGTTTTGCATGCCAAGAACATGCAAAAAGCGAGAGTTATGCTATTACTTTTAACCCTTCTCTTATTTCTGTGTGTCACCATTCTCGATACCAGGGGTAAATTATGTTTTTTAAAAAATATCCAATCATGCCATGTTAAGCTGTAAAAACAATAGAATTGAAACAGGTGCCCGAGGCCTGTGGTTACCACCACCAAATTTGTTCTCGCGAGTACTCAAAAATACATGATAGGTTTTCATACAATTTGAAGCATATACATCGTCTACTTAGATCTAGGGCTCTGCTTCACCCCCTAACTGTCCTAACGAAATCAACCTCCACAATACATTACCCGAGTAAAAATCAGAGTTGATTTTAGGAACCTGCTGGCAGTCCATTCTGTTTTTCTATGGTTCTCTCCCCAAAAAGGTAAGTATATAAATTATGATTAACAAACTTATATCCAATTTAAGTTCTATGGTTGTTCAGCCATGTACAAAAACATTGTGTACTATAGGTTTATATAGTTTTAGTTATTATAATGAACAGATTTTTGTAAGTCTTGTGGAATACAAAGATTTGTGTACACTTGTATCAGGTGAGTTATTTCTTTTGTGTAAACATGATCATAAATAATATAGTTAGATATAAGTATGATTTGTATTGTTGGATTTAAAGAATATGAAATAAATTTTGTGAAATCCTAGTTTGCTTTTACTTCAGATGTTGCTAACTTCACAATTAACTATCCCTACCAATTTGGACAAGGAGCAATTGCAGGACTAATTAATATTAGGGCTGTTTGTTGGTTAAAAAAGGAAAGTTATTATTTCTGAAACTATATTTATTATTAATTATAAGTTTAACATGACTTAATCGTTACAAAACAGTAAACATTTAGGTAAACCTACATGCCTTCTCTTACCATTATCTGGGTAAGGACGGTCTGGTAAATAATTTACAATACACTAGGCCCAGATACAATAAAATCTACTTATTGAGAGTATCCCTAATAAAAGACAGTCATGTTATCATTTTAGATTAGAATAATAAGCGGCTTTATAATAAGTTTCGTCAGTTTCCAAGCAGTTTAGTCCGAATGACTAGTAAGAAGTATTCTTATAGATTTTTCGCTTAATCTATTTTTATAAATCTTGTGCAACTGAAACACTTTACACAGTGGCAAGACACGTCACACACGTGAAGAAAATGATTAAGTAAATGGTCCAAGTACATACATTCATTTATTAAACACTGATTTATTATACGGTACCTTATCGAAATTCAATATGAATTATTTATTAAATTTCACATAGCTAATAATTTCAGAGGACGTTAATTTTACATTATTATAACAGTAGAATGATAACATTTCATATAACAGAGGACAACATTGTACTGCTACCGCTAAAAAAGGTGACGTTAAATTTTGTCATAACCTGTTTAAAAGTATCATATTAGGTGCTCTTAAGTTGTTTGAACTATCTGTGAAACATTAAATGGATAGTCATTTTGAGTTCAGATATAAACCCTTTTTATCTAGGTAATTAGGTTCACGTTTCAATTGGATATTTTTTACTTCATGAAATCCAATTTATTCCATGTATGCCATGGACACTATCAGCAGAATATCTTTAGATGACAGAGTTCCTAATTATTTCATTTGATTAAACATGATTAATAGTTAAAACGCGTGTAAGCTCATATAGTTTAAAAATAAATATTTTCTTAAGTCAACTTAACATTAACATCATTGCTGATGTTCCAAAGGCGTGTGGTACCATTACACATAAGTTGTGGACTCAACATATCTCAACCTATAAGAACTATGTTATGGATTAATACGTCGTGATATTGACAGTGGAAAAGCGAAATAGCTTAAACGCCACTTAGTAAGTTTACAACGAGGATCAAGGTATTTTTTTACAAAAAAAAAACATAAGTCGCTGTAAATGAGAAGTAGCGTAGTAAAAAAAATAACGTTTTGTAAATATCCTCCTATCAAAATGTTACATAGTGCCTTTATGAATTTGATGTCCCTTAAGCGAAAATCACTCGGCCCGCCATACATTTTTTGTCAAACAAATATCAAATCATACGCCACATTGTATTGGTTCAAAATTTATGTCGCTTCAGCGTTTTGAACAATAAAGACGTTCAAAAAAATTTTGTTGCATACGTATCGAAAATATCTTCACGAAACAAACGGATGGACTCAGAAAAAAAAACTGATTTAAATGGTATATTTACATTTTCGAGCAAAATGGCGTATGAGCGATTTTGCCTTTCCACTGTCGACATAAATATATTATGCTGGGCATTTTACTTGGCTATTTGTATTTGTTATTTGCAAACGTAAAAACAGTCTCTCCTTTTCATTCTCTATATAGTGTGATAAAGACAACTTGCTGTCAAAATGAAATAGCAAACACGAATAGCCAAGTGAAGTGGCGGTATTATGTCGCAGCCATTTGGTTAAATTTGGAGGCCTAGACCGTTCATTTAACATAATTGAGCGTAATGTTGAGTAGTCATTTAGTTTTTGATGATTTTGTGATGTTTGGTATGTAATAGAAAAGTATAGCAAATGTTTTATCATAGTTTTTTAAATCTATATTAATAAGCATTGCCATGATTTGGCAAATGCCGCAGAAAGGAACCACACGCTTTATTGGGAAAATGCGCAAATGAAATAACATATAACAATATTATAAGGATTACACAGCCATATCACATTTTGGCCGTACAACTAATTAACTTTAATGATACGTTATAATTTAATCATATTAGTAGCTTAAAAGCTACTCGTTAAAAGTATCAAGAACATCAAACAATTGTCTGTTTAACATCTATGATACAGGAATTCACCTAAGCAAGTACGCTAGCGATAGAATATCAATAATAAACGCTGTAAAATTAAACACAATCACTATTAGTTCCTATGAATATAATATTTTTCGAAGAACTTTTATAGAATGATTCTGATTCTACTTTTTATAGTAGAGACAAACTTTATATGAGGTAGAATACGAAAGTGCAGCGAATTTTTTTATTGCGAACCGTATTCTTATAACAACAAATTATAATATATAAAAATTCATGAAAATACATAGAAATAGTGATCGTTAAAGACTATTTCAGTAAATTTTTAAATGTATGTACTTCCTGACTTCTACAAATAGTTTTCTTTTTTATCTAATCAATATACCTGAAACAAAAAAGTATAATGATTAGCTTTATAAATAATCTGTAATTAAGAAAATAATATGTATGTGTTATGATTTGGGAAACCTAGAAATATATTGCAAAGAAAAGAAAGTCAACAGTACAAAAATTAGTTTTGAAATGTTGAGTAAAAAAGTATGTTTATGAATATGTTTCCGGCAGCGATGAAACATATCATTGGAAAGCTTGTTTTATGTAATAAAGCGCCCAGCGCCGTCGCGGCAGTTTGTAGGTCACGTTGGCAAATATATTAGCCAAAAGTTGGTAATGGCATCCATACGTAGAAAGGTCGTTCAGTTTGCTTCGGTACAGGCGGACGAATTTATTAAACTTGATATTGAGACGCTCACGACTGCAGCGGTTTATTTATTCATAGTAAATCCCTATCCAAAGTTAGTATACTACTAGAAACTAAAGTTATGACGCGTGAATATAAAATTTTAATCGAGTGCCATCACAATCTCTTGGCTAATATCTTTGCCACAATGTTGGCCAAAGTTTAGAGCAGGCATTACTTGAAGAGCGGGCACGTCTTACCATATGAGTTGGGTTAGTATATATTGCCGTTAGCACGGTAATAATATCATACAGTATTCTATCTTCATACAAACGGTCGGAAAGCGAGTCATACCTACGCCACTCGAGTTCGATGTGCTCTCGGCGTGCACCCAGTCGCGAATGCGCCACCGCGCCGCAACGATGACCGAACGGTCTGAATTGTTTTTTATGCAGTTAGCCGTGCTTAAACATGCGTTTTGTATTGTAAATATTTGATTTAATTAAGTAGATACCTACATAATTTAGTATGGAAAAGAACAAACGACGATCAATACGATATTGATCGTCGTTTGTTCTTTTGTACGATCGTTTGTTCTTTTGTATCGTCGTTTGTACGATTACAACAGCACAATTGCTGGTTTTGGTTCCTTGAACTCTTCAATAACACACCCAGAGATATCATTTTTTAAATTACCTGAAATATTGGAAAGGTGTCTTACCTTTACAGAATATTTTTTATATACCTATCTACTAGTACGTTATTTGTTTCTAATATTTAGGTATTTCGGTTTTTCCATCGGGCAAAATATCTGGAATAATATATAAATAAGTGGTTAGGATGAAAAAAGAGACAAACGAGTAATCTACCTACACTCGCGTTAAAAACAAAACTACATAAAATACTGTAGGCTGGCGGCCTTACCGCGTGCCAACGCAGCGTTCGGTGTAGGCATTTATTTTCGAGGACAGGGCGGAGTCACAATACTGTAAATTTTTTGTGAAATTGTTTTGTTTGCAGATGACACCTCGCTAATTTTTAACGTTGACAGGTGTAAAACAAATTATGACGATGTAAACAATGCACTTTCCAAGGTACTTCACTGGTTCTCTTCTAATAATCTTAAACTGAATGCGACAAAACTAAATGTGTGAAATTTACTTTGCCGAATGTAAAGCATGTTGAAATGGGGGATATAATTCTAAATGGTGAAAAACTAATTTTAGTCGATACAACCGTTTTCTTAGGCGTAACACTAGACCACAAACTTCAATGGAACCCTCACATTACAACACTAGCCGGTAAACTAAGTTCTGCTGCTTATGCAATTTATAAAATAAGACGACTTACAGATGTCGACACTGCTAGGACAATATACATCAGCTACTTTCACAGCATTATGTCGTATGGCATTCTATTATGGGGCACGGCCGCAGACATTGAAACAGTTTTTATTCTTCAAAAACGAGCTATAAGAGCTATTTACCGCTTGGGATCTCGAACTTCTCTTAGGGATAAATTTAAAGAAATAGGAATAATGACTGTTGCCTCTCAATACATTTACAATTGTATATTGTTTGTGCGTCAGAACATAAATTTATATACGATATATATCATTTGTGGGTCAAGGTATATGTTACTATAATAAAATACCAAAAGAAATAATTAATTTACCTTTTAATAAGTTTAAAGTGTGTATAAAAACATGTCTCCTTAAGAAAGGTTACTATACTGTAAAAGATTTCATAAATGATAAGTCACCTTGGGCTTAACATAATAGACTGTCGTTTTACTTTGCTAATTTGGTTGAAAATTGTTTAATCGCCACTTCTAAATTTAAAAATAGTACCTAGTTATACTTAACTTTTGTTAATTAATAATATTAATGTGATGGAAGTTGACATCAACACATGTATTCAATTTTTGATGTCATCTTTCAATTGACGACACTGTGTGAAACAAAACAGGGAGAAAAAAAATTGCCCTTGCTGAGTTTCTTGCCGGTTCTTCTCAGTACAAGGTCTCCCGCCGTAGATTTACGAACCGATGGCGTAGCGTTTGACTTTCACAAGAGCTTGTAACAGCCTAGACTGAATAAATGAGTTTGAATTTGAATTTGTATAGATAATATTACCGTGCCGTTAGCGTTGGCGATCTGCGCGTTGACGGTTGCGGCGACGGCGCTAGAGTTTGTATGTATGTTTGTTACACTTTCAACGACTGATCGGATTTGGATGAAATTTGACATATAGTTTATTAAATAAAACTAGTTTTAACGGGTTAATGCACAAACTTTATTTATTCATTGACGTTTCGCAGCCTTTTCAGGTCTGTATCGTAAGAAATCATTATTCTGATTTATTTCATTTATTTAATGATTGATGTGAGTGAAAACCTAAGAAACAAATATATAGTTAATTATCTAGATTGAGATTGAGGATACTTTTTATCCCAGATTTTTTGGGTTCCCATGCGATTCCCGCGCGGGCGAAAGCTAGAAATTTATTTTTTGGTGGTTCTACCACTTGGATGAGATCTGTGAGCGATCTGCGCGTTTAATGTTAGGTTCCTGTGGAATTCTCAAAAAAAACAACGAAATATGACGCGGGCAAAAGCCCTAAATAAATATTACAATTATTAGGTATTACGATTAAATTACAATTGATTGTAAAGATTGCAAAAAATAGCATTATTTTCGAATTTTTGGGTGACACTGATCCCCTTCAATTACTAAATCTATAGCGGCAAGAAGAGTAGAAAGAATGAGTTAAAATGTGCTTAAGACATCAGGAGGTTCTGTGTGTGTGTGAATGCGTTGTTAGCAAGAAATAGGACATTTTCAAATGTGTATTTTGAGCAGTATCGTTGGTAGTCTTACCACTTTCAGGCTAGGTTAGTATCTATTGGCGTTAGCGTTGGCGATCTGCGCATTGACGGTTGCGGCGACGGCGCTGGACGCAGCCGTCTGTACGTGTTGATTGCGTAATATTTCTGTCGTGAATTCCGCTTGGGCTTTCGCTAGCGAAGCGCCTGTTGATCGGTAGATGCGGTGTACCTGGAACAAAACGAAATCGTGTATATTATCAGCTTATTAATGCCATTTAAACAGGTTTTAAACTAAAGTATGTGACTTAAAACTAATGAACGAATTTGGATAAAATTTGTTACGCATAAAGTCTATGACCCGGATTGAGACATAGGATGCTTTTTATCCCACAAAGAGGTTCATGAGGGATTTACAAAAACTAAAGTTAACGCGGACGAAGTCGTGGGCGGCCGCTAGTGTCATATACACCGCTAGTGTCATAGCACCGGGATATGATATATACTTAGCTCGTTTTTATCATGTCGCTCAATCATCAAATTACTATGGAGTTTGACAGTTAGACGCGATAATAAATAAATATTTCCAACACTTACACCAATAAGCCTAGACCCAAAGTAAGCACTGTAAGGCTTGTGTTATAGGATGCTAGGGTAACGGATAGAATACATATACTGTACATATATAAGTATATTTATATAGAAATACATATTAAACATTATTAGTCATGGATATGACTGGAGTACAAATGCTCGTATTCATCACACAAACATCTGCCTCCACCGGGATTCGAACCCCTCTCGGGACCTCTGGAGTCGGTGACACTAAGAAACCTGTTGTACAAACCACTCGGCCACGGAGGTCGTCAATAAACGTGACATAATGTGGTGTTCACGCTACGAGGACAGGTATTCGTATAGTGGATGGAGTAGGGAATTAAGGTCATAGTTGGCCTACTGTAAAGTAAAACTGCTCAGATAAGTGTAAAAGAGACAGAGCGATGGCACGGCCAATAGTTCGTATCGTTATTAGCTACAAAATCACTTTCTGTAGTGTGGAGTTATCAATTTCATGCGAGTGGCTCTGTAAATTTTAAGTTTCTGTAATTCTACTACATGAACATAAAGGAAGAGATTTACCTTAGCCATTAGCATAACGTCAACCACTACACATGTGATGAAACCAACAGTGATCAACGTGGTGATGATTCCAACCGCCACGCTGGTTTTGTACATCGAAATGCTGGTGATGAGTCCGCTGAAAACCAAAAGAAATGTGTCTTATTTAATAAATTCCTTTTTCCTTGCGATGTCTAAATATATCTAGCTCGATAGCGCAGTGATTGTGGAGGTTAAGCAACTTTCACTATGGCCAGTTGTAGGATGGGTTGCCAAAACTATTATTATCTCGAATTCCATGCTTCGGAATGCACGTTTAGTCACTGGTGCCGGCATTGCATTGCATCTATAGTCGTTGACACCCACTAATGAGGGTGTTAAGGAAAATTGGAGATTAGAGGATCATGATGGCGCGGGTTGTTAGCGTGTTCGGCTGCGATCGTTGAAGTTAAGCAACTTTAATCTTCTATCTCGAGTTCCTCCGTGCTTCGAAAGGCACGTTAAGCCGTTGGTCCTTGCTGCATTTGCAGTCGTTAGCACCCGCTAATCCGCACTTATTATAAAATAACACTAGTCCTCAGTGAGGGTCTTCTTGTTGTGAGTTCAACAGATCTTCAATGTTGATGTGCATCCTCTATTTAATTTCTTATTGTGGTATTTAATTATTAGAAAAGTCAGTAAAATGATATATTGATAAGGATTAATTAAGATTTCTAAAATCTAGTTCACAGCGAGGAATGCAAGTGCTTTTGAATAAGGCTGTGTCTCATGAAAAAAATATTGAATTCAAAGGGACGGAAACCCTACAATTCTATTAAATGGTTAAAGCAGAAAAATTAACCTTATTAAAACTTACCAAGAACCTCCACCAGAGAATCCAATAGACTGTACAATGGTGATAATGATTTGGAACAGGAATATGAAGAAGTAGACCATAAAGTTGAAGGATGAATCACTTCTGAAGGCCTTGTAGATTGGTCGGTACCAACATATGAAGCTGAACGGCGTTAGAAGTAAGAAGTAGAGGATTGATAAGCCAAAAGTCTCAACGCCTTCGCCGGCGAACATTATCGCCATGCCACCGATGATATTCACAGCTAGGACTAGCGCGTGGACTGTAAACAAAGAATGAAGAAATAATAAAATTTACCGAATTAAAAATTACCTAGTACAAATATTTGACGACCTCCGTGGCTCGAGTGGTATGTACGCCAGTTCCACTCAGAGGTCCTTCGTTCGAATACAAGGACTTTTACCTAAGTCATTGACGTTTAAATGTATTTTTAAATAAAAATATACTTATATATGTACCAGCAATATGCATTTTATCCCTCACCCTAGTATCGCATAACACAGGCCTTACTTTGGGGCTAGGCTAATTGGCACGTGTTAGAAATATTTATTTATTAGAGATTTGATGACTCATTTCTTTCGTCGTCATCTTTAGTGGAATTCTTTGCCGCGTACATACGTGTTTCTTCCTTCCTACAATCCGGAGTAGTTTCAAAGTCAAAAGTATTGTTGCGGGCTGGCAAGGTGAGGATGGCTGTGTGATGATAGTTCATAACTACTACACCAGCTTCGCGTCTGGACTTTACGAGAACTATAGTAAATCAGGAAGGGTCATTTGCCTACCTAATTATAAAAAATACTTTCAAAGATTATCTCAATAGATTCTGAACTTTATGAGAGATATGTCAATTTGTCCAAAGAGCCACGACGGAGGATTTTTTGTACAGCAAGTAAATTGATAAAGTGAAAAAAGACGAAAACGACCTACTCGCTAACTTACTAATTTATTAGCACATTGGCATCGTAAAACCAGAAGTTGTTATGTATAGTATTCCTATTCTTTTTATGGACGAGATTATTTTATTATGTGACTATCGTAAGTGCTATTTTTTCATGATTAAAAATATAATGTTTAGTACACACACGTTAAAGAAAAATATGTATTTTTGTTGTTGTTCAACATAAATGTTTTTAATGCCTATATAGACAAAATATAATAATAATAATGTTACAGAACGTCATACTAATCTTTAGATAGCTTTGTTTATTGGTTAATTCATTAAATACACATCGCTAAACTGAATTCACATCACATTGATAAGAATAAATGATTATAGATAAAATATGACAAATCTTTAGTCATAATCGATAGCAAATGGTTAATGGGATCTAAAACTAAAACCTACTTTACAATATTTCCAAATATAAAAGAATATGGAAATTTTCGTTTACAAAATGCTGGTGCGTACATAACTATTTAATAAATAATTGTGATGCCCAAATCTAAATCAATCTAATAATAATCGTTTATTGCTGGGAACATAGTTTGTTTACAGATGGAAATAAAACTAGATTCTGCATGTGACGCCCTTGAAGGGGCATGCTACATTCGCTGCAAAAATTACGGCTTAAATATACTTTAGCTTCGAAGGGGATGTCCGAAAGAATTGCTGGACTCGGACACAATCTATTCGGACAGAGTATCCGAATTGATTGTAATGTATAACGTTTATAGTTTACACTATAAATAAGTAATGTAGCGTAAGTTTATCTTTATTTGGGTCATTGACGCCAATATTTTTTTTTCTTCCACTCTTAATACAGCACATACCTACTTAAATAAGCAAAAATATTACTCACACATCCACAAATGATATAAGTGCCGTACGATCCTTTGGAACTCCAGTGGTATGTCGACGTTGATGTCTTGGTAGAAGCAAGGCTGTACGGGACAAAAGGCAGGTAGCGGGGGCCAGTTATTGCGACGGCCTGCGGACCCCGCTCGCAGCTCTGCTTCCCGCCGTGCTAATTCCTCAGCTTTGCGTTCTAGCTCCTCTTGTCGTCTCTGCAGTTCAAATTCATTCATGTCTCCACTTCTATCTATCCAAACTGCGACGTACCCAAGCGAAAAACGGCAGCCCAAGTGACGTTTACTTTAAATACCAGGAACGCGCGCAATAACGAAGAAAAACTATTTTGAACAACTTCTAGAATGCGTAAAATACTGTTTAAAATATTTCACAAGCTACAATTTCGCGATTGACCAAACAAACAGTGGCTAATCAACCGCTAGAAATCCTAACTGAGGATGTAGTTTGTGTCAATTGACTAAATAACTGAAGATTACAAACAGTAATATTACCACTAGTTCGTGCTGTGCTAAGTATACTCGAGTGGGCTGTTTGGGACTACTGTTTATAATGCTAAAAGGAACAACTTTCAAGCCACGGAAGGCAGAGGTGGGTAATTTAAGTGAAAAGTGGATTACTATTTCAATGTGCTATAATAAATGAGGAGCTGGGGAATAAAACAATATAATTACATCAAAATAATTGTTATAGGAGCAGTAGAAAACTGAATGACATATCTACAGTGAGCTTTTGGCGTGGTTTTTAATTTAGTAATTTTAACACCATTTTAGGCAGATCTGATTGAAAATGAGTCGAAATTAAAATTGAGCTGGCAACATCTGGACTGTAAAAAAAAGTATTTTGACGATATGCGTAATAGGGTATTTGACAGAATTAAAAATATAGTGCCAATTGTTAGCATCTGTGATTAGATTGAACATTGGCAGGGGTTTTTACTATTATTACAAAAACAAAAATAATTTTACTAAAGAAAACCCTAGAAAAAGATAATAGTTTTCTTATCTATTGTCACGTGACCCAAAACGCTAGGGATTGGCGGAGCCTAAAATAACGTCACACGCAAGTAAACTTCCAGTTCGAGTACATTACATTGTATCGTTTGACGTTTTAATAACATATCGTGTGAAATCACACACTAGTAAGACGCCATATTGTCCAGAGAAATGTTTTTGCGGCAACTTGAAAATGGAGTTTTTGATTTGGTTATTTTTACTGAAATACACAACAGAATGATGAATCCACTTTTTACGGACTCCATAAACATTAGTCAATAACGTGAGATCGTTACCTAAAACTTGTCAAATACCCTATTATACTGGTTTGTTTGCCAGCTCCTCAAATAGCATCATACTAAGTTATTTAAAATGAGTAGAACTACTAGCAAGTGAAAATTAGGTTGAAAATACAGGAGGTTATAGTATCAACTAAATATAATTACCTTAAGCTCCTGTTGTGCAGTCAAATAAAGCAAAGTGCTGTGTTAATACTCATGCATTAAATGATTATATTATACAATAAGAGTACAATTTTATTTGTCATCTCTAAAATTAAAACAGAAATTTGGTGTTTAGTCAATGAAAGTGTAAGTGCGTATTTATTTGACAAACTTTTTCTGACTTGATATCACATTTATTCCATGTAAATATATTTTTATTATAATATTGAAAATTTGATACTTTCAATTTGATTTGAATATGATTTTCCATTATAGATAAGATTTCTACAATTGTCTACATTCACACAAGTGCTGAAAATATTCTTACAAAAAAGGGTAGTGAAGTAGCTCCTAGGAAAAGCATTATCAAAAGGCCTTAAATTTACACTTTACAAAAACATTTATTTCTTTGATATGATAAAGTACACAGTGATTCAGAATTTTTCAAGAATACAATGACAAAGGATATTGATCATTATCATGATAGCAGTGCAATATGTGTACAACATACACATGTCAATTGTAATTATTTAAAATTTTCGCACCCTTAACCTATTAGTATTGACCTATTAGTACTTAATCCAAACAAGCAAAAACTTGTGCCAGTACCATATAAAGTATTATTCTATTTGAATGCAAATTGATTAGAGCATAAAAAAATATAGTCTCAGGGTGTGCCAACAGAAGTGAAAACTCAAATATCCAAGCTAACAAAATCTCAAAAAGGACCATAGCACTTTAGTATTTACTTAAAAAAAAACTTGGTTTGAACTCAAAACTTTTTGCACTAGAAGGAGCATTTGTTGCATTAGACCAAGCCACCACTATCAAAGCTGGGCAAAATAAAAATATATGTAGGAGTGACTTCTAATAAACAGCACTTTTAATTTGATTAACTCTTTATTTCAATTTAATACACGTCATTCCGTCGTTACTTAATCCTAGTCTCGCGCCATCTTCCTTAAGCTACCCTCCCATTTTTTCCTGCACACAAATCATTCTCGCTCACCTTCACTCTCTCTACGCAGCTGATGTTGCCATCCTACATTTATTTACAGACTTACAGAGATGTCGGCAAGTTAACTGGTTTTTTCCCATCTCAAAGTCCATCGCGCCCAAATAAGTTTTCACTTCAGTAATAATAATATAATAATGGTTTTTATTTTTAGAGTTGCAGAGTTCATTCCGAAAAATACAGATAAGTTAATAATTTTGAGTTTTTTGATAAAATTGCAGCACAGCACACAGCATTACTGGTACTACTATCTCTTAGTACCAGACTACCAGTAGTCCAGTACTGCAATTGACGCAAGTCAGCATGATAGATAATAGTGCTAACAAATATGCACCAGATAGCGGTAACTTTATAGGAAGAGGTGTCAGTCACGGTGTCGCGAGTACAATGGTTACTATCACAAAAAATGGCCAACGCACCTACAGAAGTTTTCACTTCAGAAAATTATTTTTAAGTTAGACATATGTATCTATACTAACAAAAAATGGTGCAAACACAAACCCAGAGTTGTAGAGAACTCAACAATGACCTAATTGGTCAGTATCCATTAAGTATGCAATGTGTCAATTTAACATAACTCTAGCACTTTACTATTGTTCATGTTTTCTATTTGTCATTTAGACAGCAGGTTGTACTTTTAATATTCCGTAGGAAATTAAAAGTAGAGACTGTTGTCAAATTTATAAATAGCAACTACAAATAGCCATGTGTCTGCATAAGGTAACATATTATGTAATGTATGAAATACCTGAAAATCGGCAGTAGTGAAATTAGGTGGAGGTCCTTGTGGCTGCTGCTGTTGCTGTTGTGGTCTTTGGTACTGACCACCACCACTGGTGGGTGGTGATACAGCCTGCATGATTGCTGGTTGTGTAGGTTGTTGTGAGGGCTATAACAAAAACATTAAATGTCCCATATTTTTTATCAAGTCACATGAAAAATACTATTACAGTCTGATATCAAGTATTGCTGAGATTAAGTGACTCGATTTGCCTGCTTGTCTACTGACTTTATTAATTTCAAGGCAGATGCAGTACCTCCTAACCATACTACTTGTTTAGGGTGTAGCAAAGGGAGACTACAAGACTTGATAACTTTATGATTTGTTTATTAAAATAGAAAAACTAATAAATTCAGATGTTATAGTTTATTTTGTAACAAGATAAATAAGGGGTGGTTTCTTATTGTTTGCATAATAAATGCCTGAATATAAACCTATATTAAAGGTTCATCATTAGCTAATAACATGTTTAACAACCAAGAAAAAATCAACTTCCAAGTTGGAGACCAAGCAAAATCGAGATGGACAGGTCACCTATTACGTAAAAAAAATCACCTATTACTTAGAAATAAGAAATGGAGTAAAATATATATTAACTATTTACTAATTGGTACTCATGTGATTATAAAAAAAGTAAAGACAGTTTCAAAGATGGGAGGTTTCATTGAAATTGACAGTTGGCCCATGCTGGTACAAGGGGTTGCACTTGATAAAACACACTGGAAAGAGCTGGAAGGAGGCCTATGCCAAAAAGCATGCCGAACTTAGATTTTAAAAAAAATTAATTTCAGGAAAACAGCTCTAAAAAGGCCTTATAAATAAATTTAATAATTGAACAATAATAATTAAATACATTTATTTTATTATTCAGTTTTCATTTATATACAAACTAAATAGAAAAAAAAACTATATCAGGTGGGGTGGGGTAATTGATATGTATAGTATAATAAGTGTTTAGAAATGATTATATTTGTGTTATCGTCATTATTATAATAACCTATTACATTATTCACAAACATAAATACTAACATTGTGGAAGAAACTTTACTCTCAAATGGAAATGTAATTTATCAATGAGTCATACACAAAAGATAAGTTGCATTACCTAAAATATAAATATAATGGTGAGAAGACAAGGAATGATATAAGATTATTACTACATTGTATTTAATTTTACTTAAGATATTTTTAATTATCTTATATGAAAAGTAAGGCTCTGCTAAATTTTCTGCTCTTATTACTCTACAGAAATAATACTATCTGGTTGCTTTCTATGTACTATGCGTTCGGTCACCAGAGCAGCAAACAATAGGGCACATGGCCAGTGCAAGCAATGCACAAGCCAATCTACTCTCTTTGGAAGTAATTTTAAGGGTTAAGTATACACGCATCAAGAGAGTAATGTTCCGATCCTTTGCCACCTTTTAAAATTAAAGAAAATCTTTAGTTACTTTGTATGTTAACATGTTAATGGAAAAGAGTTCGGATTTTTAGAGGGAATTTGTAAAGGAAATCATGCCGTGATATTGTATTCATTGTGGAAGAAGATAAATATAAAACTTGTCCCAAAAAAGATTTACACTGTAAAGGGTACCAGGGAGATAGTCTCATTGTACACCTAATAGTTGTAATTAATAAAGCTACACAGGATGTCCAATAATACGTATCAAGTTTCATATTGTTGATTCCTTTATCGACACCCACCAAAGTTAACATAGAATGGTTAGGTACAGCATATTTACCGTAGCCTGATTTGCATTTTGCTGTCCGTCAAAGGGATTGTAATCGTCGAGACCACGAGTCGCATTGTTTGTACTTCTCGCCACTTGCTGTACCGCAGGATCCTGTAACGAGATACCGAAAATAATGATACAAATATATAAAAACAATAATCTTTTCAGCGAAAGGACTACTTACAGCAAAGGGGTTGTCTATGGTTGGATCGCTAAACGGATTGTCCTCGAATTTCGACATTAGTTACAAAGTTCCTTCGCCACTTTATGAGTAATTAATAACACTGAACACAAAAGAAAGCACTCCTTCGTTTCTAGATACGTATTTTTAGTAGCAATTATGATAACAATCGACCGAAATGACAGGTTGCTGATGGTGACGATATTTGATTTGACAAAATTGACAACAAAATTCGGTGTTGCTGTTATATTAAATTAAAAAGGTTCCACAGATAGACACCGATACCATCACAAGATAAATCCAAGGAGATCCAAGGTCTTGCGAATAATGGATAATTTTTATTTTATTTATTTAGGTACTGATTGAAAATATTTCTTCACATTATTGGTAACATTTCTCATTTCCAGTTTATATTAATATTTATTCGCACGTGGCAGGTCGGCAACAGAGTACGCAAAAAGGTTGCTCGATCACATTTAAAGGATTTATAGATATTTTCAGACTTATAGCCAAGTGAAGTGCCGGCATAACATACAATCCTCCAACTAGCCCGCTGGCTCAAAGTGGCCGACATACCTAAAGGCAGAAACATATTTACGTGTCGTGACGCGTCAGAAGCATATCGGTTTAACTCTAACTTAAAACTAAATTTAACATCAGTCTCTCCTTTTTATTCTGTATAGAGAATGACAAGGATACACTGGTGTCGATTCTGGCGTGATTCTCTAAACTTAAAACTAAATTAAACATCAGTCTCTCCTTTTCATTCCGTATAGAGAATAACAAGGATACACTGTTGTCAAATTTAAGTTTAGGTTTAGAGAATCGTGTCAGAATTGACACCACTGTTGTCAATTTTAAGTTTAGATTTAGAGAATCGTGCCAGAATCGACACCATTATGTATGAAACCGAGCCAAGTAAAGTGTAAGTCAGCTACTTTATTTACGCGCCAGAAGCACATCGGTTTCATACATAATAATGTATGGTTAGACATAAACCGATATGTTTCATATTAAAATATAAATTTAAATTAAGTTTAACCAAAAAGTTAACCAATCTTAATGAATTAGCCAAACTCTTTACAAAATATTGTATTGTGTGAGAAAATTTTATACAAAAATTTGAATCATGTAACCGAACATACAAATGCAAGGCACGAGCAAAGCAAGCATGAGGTAGGCACATAAGTTCTAATGTTGGTAGTAGTGGAGTTTGAAGGCGAAAGTGGTTTTGCTTATGGTTGGCAACTTTAATTGTCAGTTTGTTTGAGGATATTGTCAAAGTAGCCAGCTGTTTACGTTTTGTATCGTTGTTTTGCGATCGTTTTTCTCGAATTTTGTTATAACATATTGTTTTTATGTTAAAGCTTTTACATTGATGTCTTTGTGCCGATCTGTAATTGTGTAATTAAGGTGTTTCATTGAGATATGTCAGATGTCAAGAGGTGAATAATCTGTGTTGTGTTCTAACGTGAGTGTTCAGTTTTTATATTGTTTGGGATTTGGAGCGATAAACATATCGGTGAGTATGAGTATTTCCTCTTCATGTAAAATATAATTTACTTTGTTAGAATAATAGAGGTGTAGCGGTTTTAAGGGCATTGAATTAAAACTTGTTGAACACTACGAAAGTGGTTCTAATAAGTGTTTCAAAGTCAAGTAATTCTGTTGGCTTGTTGGATGTGGCTAGAGGGCTAGATACGGCTTTTGATGGGGCATCAGATCGCGTTGACATGTGGCTGAGAGTGATCGGCGCAAGCGCTGTTAAGTCGTAGCGAAAGTTGTTTGCACTTGATGTCAAGGAAGTAATACTGTGTTACTGAACACTGGTCTTACCATGTGACGCATGTGTCTTATAACAAGAAAAAAATCTAACCATATTTTATGTAAGGGTAGAATTTTTTTCTTACATTCCTACCCACCTATAAATTTATCATTTATATTTTTATTAGAAATTATATGGCATTCTTAACTTAATCCAAAGTGTAATTAACACATTTTTAATTTCTAAACAACAATGAATTCGCACTGTATTTTATATTGTGGTAAAGTCTTTGCGGAGATTCAAATGTCATTAAAATGTTGGTTTTAAAATTGATTTACTAATTAATTCAAACATATGTTTGATAGTATGCTGTACATTATTTAATGTTCAGTTTCGCCTTTACTTTTAACCTTATTTGTAAGCCAAATTATAATGATAATATTCACCTTTGTCTTTGTTCGCTATAAAGAGGTGATAAACTTTTGAATTTAATGCAGCATTTTAGAATTATAACTAAACACAGAATATCTGAATGTAAAATTCCACATTCAAATAATATAAATTTTAGTAAATAAACTGAATTTACTTAATGGATTTATTTTTGTTACATGGTGGTCTTGTATGAAACAAATTTTATTCAACTGTTTGTGAACTGTGCTAATTTATCAATAATGGCTTAAATAAATATTTATTTTCATTTCAGACTTTGCAATGTAATATGTCCATAGTATTTTGTCCGAGTTGTCAGCAACTCGGTTTATTATTGTAAGTCCATTGAGAACTTGCAAACAAAATGACAATGTTACATTTATTATTTTTTCCATTTGAATTGTTGATCTTAATAGGTACTTGCAAATCAACTATAAGTTGTGATTGAGGTTTGGTTATTTTGTGCGTCATTCAAGGTTAATGGCATTGAAATAGATACTTAATGTGTCCAGTAATCAGTATCATTGTTTGGTACTGACCCCAAATGGGAAGATGTATTAAAAATGTGATAAGGAAGTGTGGCGTCTTACTAATTATTAAAATTCTGTTAAACTGTAAAGCATTAAGTAAATTTATGTGTTACTGCTATTGTTTGCTAATCAGGTACTTAAAAGTTGCAAATATTAGTTAATTATTATTTTTACCTCAACATTGAAATGAAACTTGTGTATAAACATGAATGTAATGATATTGCTAATGTAACTATTTCGAGGTCTCTTATTAAATAGGGTGGGCAGAAAATCAAACACGCAGATGTGATTTTCTCATCTTCAAACAATGTGTTCATTGCCGGTCGACCTAGACGCGATGTCGATATGCGGCACGCTATTCACAACTCACATGTTAATCAAAACAACTAACATAGGCACAAGAACAAAGCAAGCGCAGGTAACCCTCCATTCAATTGGCAATAATTGTAACTACGAACGTCGTCGACCTTACGACCTCAACAATGGTAACAACCCACCGGTGGTTGAGCAAGGAGGTTGCAAACACCGGGAGAGTAAGTACTCGTTGTACTTTTGTTCTTTGCTTTCTCACAATACAGACTTGCGCCGAGCCAATCGACTCTTGATTGGGGAGTTTTTATTTCTATTTTCTGTGTGTGTTGGCTTCCTTTTGTTTACGTATACGATTTGTTTTGATTGTAAAGCTGGGGGAATGGGAGCATTCTAACGCGTGTAGGACATGACGTTAGAATGTGACTACAATCAGCACAATGTAAACAGTTTGCGTGTAAGCTAAATGATGGTGGAAAATTAATCTCTCATTGTCCTAGGCGTCATTATTAATACAAAGTATTCGTAACAGAGTTTCTCAGTATTTAGACTCAGACATACACTCGTACATGTATACTAAACGAGTTGCTGAGTTTTTACGAAACATCGGCAAATGGAAACCTTGACTTTTGGTTCCTACATGTTTTATTTTTTTTATATTTTGTAACGTTCGCGAGTTAGTTTTGGAAGCAGGCGTATTATTGATTGTAAATATTTTGATGGATTACTGTTGCTGGTCGTGGTTTACAGTACTCCATAACGCTATGAATCCTACGATTCTAACGCAGTAAATACTGGCTCTATTGCTTAGTTAAAAATTATGAATGTGTGATAGGAATTTTTATTTATGAAATATAAATAAGTAATATTTTAAAACTTATAAATTACGTTGGAATACTAGAATATGCTAGATTTAAATTTTAGCCCGTATCCATAGACGGCATAGAGCGATCTTGAGTACGATCTAGAGATGCTGTTTTATATGAAAACACTCAAGATTGAGAGCTAAGAGCGATCTATTATTACGGGTCTTAGAGCTAAAATGTCGTCCTGTTGGGTATAGCTACAAATTAGTTCTTTTTGGTTTTACAATGTAATAAAGGGATAACTCTCGTTCGAATGGGGAAAATAAAACGTAAATTTAGGTTTCGTGGCGCCGGGGACATAGTTGCCGGGTGGGGTCATCCCGTGTGACCCCAGAATGTAATGAATCGACGAGAAAACGCGTTGCGTGGGTCGCATTTCGTGGAGCGCGAACTTTCCGGACCAGTGCACATGTAGTATGACCCAACTTTGGAGATAAAGTGAAGCCGCGGCGGCGCGCTGTCGAGTCGAGTCGAGTGCGCCTATCTTAGGGTTGCCAGATAGTCGGATATCGTCTGGATTCTGCTGACATTTCATGGGATGTCCAGACTCCTGGCAAATTAATAACGAAATCTCCCGATAAACGATCATGAAAATACACATATCGTTTAAATACCCTGCGCCACATTGTTATTTGAATGGTGGGCTTATGTACTGGTCTCCGGTCCGGCCGGTGTAATCCTCTCGAAAACAATCCCAAAATCCCGACATTAAATAAAAACGGCCAAGACAGCGAGTCGGGCTCACGCACCGAGGGCTCCGTACAAACCTGAATTTTCAAAAATATTTTTTGTTATTTGATATAACTAAAAATTTACGGTTTTCGCATTTTTTCCTTTATCTGTACTATAAGACGTTACTTCGTGCCAAATTTCAAGATTCCAAGTTCACAGGAAGTACCCTGTAGGTTTTTATTCCTGTGCGAGTTTCGAAAATTTGCGGAATAAACGGCTGTATCTTTTGATTGCTTAGAAGTTTGACTTTTTCGCAGCTCCAAGGTACAGTAGACCTGAGTATTAGATATGAATTTCAGTTTGACACCTCCACGCGTTCCTGAGAAAAACGGTCTTGACAAACGGACGGACGGACAACAAAGATCCAAAAGAAGGGTTCCGTTTTTTCCTTTTGAGGTACTGAACCCTAAAAACTATCCAGATATTTGGACTTCTCGATCTCAACCCTAGCCTAGCAGCACTCCCAACGTGTCCTGAATGGGACAGGTTTAATTACTATCATGGTAATTGTATTTTACGCTGAAACGAGTAAAACAAGTTATAGCCAAGTACTTAATAAAAATGTGGCTTAGTTAATACGATCGTATGACAAGTTGTCAATCTA